GTCACTTTGCTTGATCAACGTGGTCAAGTTTCACACGTTGATTACCATATTACTCATCGATTGGATTTTTGATTTCAATGAAAGTAATACGCGTACTACTTTGACATGAAATACAGAACACAGCAATACCAACTTACAATACTGTTCAGTCTTTTTGAAATGATTGCTCACGAGAATGCAGTAAACAATAATCGCATGTGGACAGACAAGGCACGTTTTTATCATTATCATGATGGTTTTAAAGTATAGCCTTACTAATTTCTTATTACTTATTTATTTACATTAAATATTCTCATATATACGTATCAAAACTATAACTCCATTCGTCAAATCACAACAAGTATGACACGTGCTTTTGGGGGAACAGTAAACGGGCTTTGACTGACCACGTGTATGGCATGTCAAACGTTGCAATATTTGATAATCTTGTGATGTATATTCAAAATCTTGTGATGTATGTTCGAAATCTTGTGATGTATATTCAAAATCTTGTGATGTATTAATCTTGTGATGTATGTTCGAAATCTTGTGATGTATATTCGAAATCTTGTGATGTATGTTCGATAATCTTGTGATGTATATTCGAAATCTTGTGATGTATGTCAAAATCTTGTGATGTATATTCAATATCTTGTGATGTATATTCTAAATCTTGTGATGTATATTCAATATCTTGTGATGTATGTTCAAAATCTTGTGATGTATATTCAATATCTTGTGATGTATATTCGAAATCTTGTGATGTAGGCCTATATTCTATAATCTTGTGATGTATGTTCGAAATCTTGTGATGTATATTCGAAATCTTGTGATGTATGTTCGATAATCTTGTGATGTATATTCGAAATCTTGTGATGTGTGTTCTACAATTCAGTGATGCGTGCAATAAAATTGCATGACGCAACAGAAAAGTAAGGACAATTTTCATTGGTTAGAAATAACGAAAGTAGCCGGAGCGGTCGTAATGCACACATTGACACAACTTCGCAAGCATGAAATTGACGAATTCAACCTAAAGTCAAAATTATAGGTAATAGAAAAATTGTTTTGGTATCAAGAAGCACTAAGTCAGTCATAACGTGAAAAGTGGGAATCAAGAACATTAATTTGATTTGTTTGAAGGTACATCAAAAACAATTTAGTGGCTTATTGCTGGACTAAACAGCTAAAGGATGTTTTATCCTATTTTTACGTCCTCATATTGTAGTGATGTTGATTAATCGGTATGATTTATTCTATATTGGTGCTAGTTAGAATAATCTAACTGTGTCTCTGGACAAACTCTCACCACGCAGGGTTCGAAATTGCATGGCCCATTGCAGCTGCATTGACCGTAGCCCTAGTCCAGGGACGACTTTGCAATAAATAAATAAATAACACGACAAATTTTTAGGAGAAGGGGAATGTCTGGAAAAGATTAATTGCTATGCATCATTGAATATTGTCATTCACAAATTTGTCCAATTATTTTTATAGTAAAATAAAATATAGCTAGAAATTAACAGCGTAAAATATTTATCACATGTTTCGGGGTTTTATATACAAACAGAAGTAAATAAACACCGATGCAGCAAGATTAATTAAGGTCAAACGACTCTGCACTGATGTGTCCTCAGCGGGGAGTTTTGCATCAAGTCATTAATGATGTTCCCTGCATTTGTGTTAGCCTGATAGTACAACCTTTATTTATAGAATATGACGCAGACAGGGATACCTGGTGAAAACCTTTCGCACCTTATGAATTGCTTTGTAAAATATTAGACAAAGGAGCCAGGAGAAATATTAAACAATTTGATATTTTGATTAAACTATTCGATTTACTATTTCTTAAGGTGTTTGAATGGATTTTGTTTTCTCAACAGCGGCTGGGCGGACGTACTATATTTTTACTCGTAAACTCAATTTGGCGGTGAAGAAGCAGCATTTCTTGTTGCTCACCGTCGCAATAGCCGGGCATTGCTCTACGAGCAATGAACCCGGCTAAAAATAATACTGGTTGGGACTACCAGTTCGCTTACATGTAGGGTAGGGTGTTGTTATTTTGACCACCTGCAGTGATTTTTTTCCACCCATTGGGAAAGGGTCCGGTACGGGTTCAATTGGGAAAAATAACATAAAAAAAAAACAGGAGAATTTTCTCTCATTTATGCAAATGCAATGTTTTATGCGTTTATTCCAAATTAATTACCTATTGCTCCTTGTTTTAAAGAATAAGCAACGAGTACTTATTGTTTTTAGCTCACCTGAGCCGATGGCTCAAGTGAGCTTTTCTGATCACATTCTGTCCGTCTGTCCGTCCGTCTGTCTGTAAACTTTTCACATTTTCGACTTCTTCTCAAGAACCACAGGGCCAATTTTGACCAAACTTGGTACAAAGCATCCTTGGGTGAAGGGGAATTTAAATTGTTAAAATGAAGGGACATATCCCCTCGCAAGGGGAGATAATCAGGAAAAGACAAAAATAGGGTTGGGTCATTAAAAAATCTTCTTCTCAAGAACCACTGGGCCAGTAAAGCTGAAACTTATGTGGAAGCATCCTGGGGTAGTGTAGATTCTAAATTGTACAAATCATGACCCCCGGGAGAAGGGCGGGGCCACAATGGGGAATCAATGTTTTACATAGAAATATATAGGAAAAATCTTTGAAAATCTTCTTCTCAAGAACCACTGGGCCAGAAAAGCTGAAACTTATGTGGAAGCATCCTGGGGTAGTGTAGATTCTAAATTGTTCAAATCATGACCCCCGGGGGTAGGGCGGGGCCACAATGGGGAATCAGTGTTTTACATAGAAATATATAGGAAAAATCTTTGAAAATCTTCTTCTCAAGAACCACTGGGCCAGAAAAGCTGAAACTTATGTGGAAGCATCCTGGAGTAGTGTAGATTCTAAATTATACAAATCATGACCCCCCGGGGGTAGGGCGGGGCCACAATGGGGAATCAGTGTTTTACATAGAAATATTTAGGAAAAATCTTTGAAAATCTTCTTCTCAAGAACCACTGGGCCAGAAAAGCTGAAACTTATGTGGAAGCATCCTGGGGTAGTGTAGATTCTAAATTGTTCAAACCATGACCCACGGGGGTTGGGCGGGGCCACAATGGGGAATCAATGTTTTACATAGAAATATATAGAAAAAATCTGAAAATCAGAGCTGAAACTTATTTGGAAGCATACTGGGGTAGTGTAGATTTCAAATTGTTTAAATTATGATAAGTGGGAAGGGTGGGGTCACAATATGTATCACAAGGGGGAAATCTGGTAAAGAACAGAATGGCCAAAGCTTCTCAGGTGAGCGATGTGGCCCATGGGCCTCTTGTTTATATCAATGTCCCATGTTTTCACATTTTCATGCTTTCAATTTGTCAAAATGTATGACACTACGCTGTCTAAACCACAGGTCCCGCCAAATTACGACTTTCTCTACTTTCGATTTAAGCAGAAGTGAAACAATTAGTCAACTTGTACAATGTTTCATTTAACAAGAAATATGATGTCAACGTAGTATGTTGCATCACAGGTGAATTGGGAATATGAGTCACAAAATTGGGAAAAATTAACATTTTTTGGCATTGGGAACGGTGCCGTTTATCGGTACCAGTTATATAAGTAAAAAAAAACGCTGACCTGGTTAATTTCGACTGTTCATGAATACCTTAATGTATTTTGTTTATGGCATATAATTGTGTATGTACATTTATATTATGCAGAAAGAAAACGTATTTTTAGCTCACCTGAGCCAAAGGCTCAAGTGAGCTTTTCTGATCAAAATTTATCCGTTGTCTGTCGTTGTCGTTGTCGTTGTAAACTTTTCACATTTTCATCTTCTTCTCAAGAACCACTGGGCCAATTTCAACCAAACTTGCTACAAAGTATCCTTGGGTAAAGTGGATTCAAGCCATAATTGATCCTATTTATATGGAAGCATCCTCAGGTAGTGTAGATTCAAGTTTGTTCAAATCCTAACCCTCGGGGTACGGCGGGGCCACAATGGAAGATCAAAGTTTTACATAGAAATATATAGGAAAAATCTTTAAAAATCTTCTTCTCAAGAACAGCAAAACCCTGATTGATCATATTTATATGGAAGCATCCTTAGGTAGTGTAGATTCAAGTTTGTTCAAATCATGTCCTCGGGGGTAGGACGGGGCCACAAAGGATGATCAAATTTTATATAGAAATATATAGGAAAATTCTTTAAAAATAACCTTCTCAAGAAAAGCAAAGCCATGATTGGTCAAGGGACTACTTTTGGATTTAAACTTTTCAATAAAAAACCAATTTTTACTTTTTCCTAGCCACAGTGCTCAGGTGAAGATGGGCCTCTTATTTTTTTTTTTTTAAAAAAATGCTTTATCATTAAATATAAATAAATCAGTTGTTAAAAAATTTGCTTCATATTTGAAGTGCCTTAAACCAACCCTCTGATGAAAGACAACCAGTGTTTTTTGCACCTTGGAAGGTTTATTGGTAAAATATTTTAAGAAGGAAGTTATGATTTTGGCGTTACTATTGTTGTTATTTAAGTTTGATTCGATTTTTATATTACGAGTATTATGAAACTGTTATTTTGTTACTGACAGATGGTTAATTTTAATTGTGAACAAATGTACAAAGATGAGGAGTATAATATAGTTGGCTATGTATAATGCCCAATTTTTGAACATACTATGTAATAAATATTAATAACAACCTTTGAATAATTGGAAAGACAATATTATAAATATGATAGCATTTTTGTACATGAGCATACATTTTTGAAAGGAAAAATAAATTATTCAATTGCATTAAAAAAAATATTTTGTTTCATATTCTTGCGAATTATCAGATCATTCTTCTATTATTTAAATACTCTGTCATTATGAAACCTTGTTAATAATTAAGTAAATATTAATTGTACATTTGCACCAATTTTTACATGGCATTTTCACACTAAGAATGCCACGTGCAAAATTATATACAGGAACAATTCTGAACAAATATATGCAAGTGAGTTGTAAATTTGATATGTAATGCATACATTACAAAAACCCATGACAGTGTTCACTAAAATGAAATGTATGGACTCTTATATAAATACTTGGTATATGTGATATGGATATTATGGATGATATTTTTGAGAATGACACAAGTAATGAAATTTTTCAGCATTGAATTGGATTCTTGAACCAGAGCCATGTGAACCTGGTCCACCTGTACCTCTCATTGAAGACCTGTTAACATCACCAGAGTATGTTCATTCTGATACCCCTATGGTATGGTTACAGCATGCATTATCCCTGAATCCATTAAAAGAGCTGCATTGGCAATGAAACAACCCAATGTGGTCGATTGTAAGGAAACATAGCATATCAGCTTCCAACTTTGGTGCAGTTCTCAGTTCTAAGCAAAGGCGGTAAGACGTGTGATTAAATTTTTGCGAAATAGACTTTTAAAATTACAGTCAAACTTTGTTATCTCAAACCCATTATCTCATATTTCATGGATATGTCAAAGTAATTTTGAAGTCCAAACCATTTATAAAAGACTTGGGACATTTTATTCTTGATAACTCTTTATGTATTATTCTTGAATCCACGGATATTTCCAACATTTTTCTTGGTCTCATTGAGTTTGAGATAATGAGGTTCGACTGTAATGACTAGATATTTGTACATAAAGATGCAGGAAATATAAGATTAATACTAGTAACCAAAAATCATATTTTCTTCTCCAGATTGACATTGTCACTGAAGAAACAGCTGATGTCGGCTTACAATCTGGAGTCCATCAAGGCTGTTGCATGGGGTATCACTCATGAAGATGATGCTTTGAGAAAGTATGAAAAGGACTTTGATGCAGCTGTAGAGCGGTCAGGTATACAGCAAAAAATAACATTCATTTAACCTCTGACATGTTAACATTCAATGTGTCAAAACAAATAACAGGACTTATCCTGGTAAAAAAACAGAAATCAATTACTGAAGTCTAATTGTAAAAAAAAACTAGAAATATGTCCATAGGACATGAATGCCCCGCCGAGGATATATTAGTAAAGCAACATGAAATTTGTGACATGTATAAAATTTGATCAGTTTGGTTCAGGCAGGGCTTATAGTTAGTTGGGAATAAAAATGTAGGTCCAGCATCCAAAGCAAGTCTGGTAGTGTCCATCCCTAGATGCATCATCCATGCAAGTTTGGTTCAGGTAGGGTTTATAGTTACTTGGGAATGAAAATATAGGTCAGATCCAGCATCCGAAGCAAGTCTGGTAGTGTCCATCCCTAGCTGCATCATCCATGCAAGTTTGGTTTAGGAGGGCTTATAACTTGGGAATGAAAATGTGAGTCAGATCCAGCATCCGAAGCAAGTCTGGTAGTGTCCATCCCTAGATGCATCATCCATGCAAGTTTGGTCTAAGTAGGGCTGATAGTTCCTTAGGAATAAATCTGCTCCAAAAACTTCAACCTGGTCACTCATCTGGAAAATGTAGGTCAGATCCAGCATCCGAAGCAAGTCTGGTAGTGTCCATCCTTAGATGCATCATCCAAGCAAGTTTGGTCTAAGTAGGGATTATAGTTCCTTAGGAATAAATCTGCTCCAAAAACTTCAACCTGGTCACTCATCTGGAAAATGTAGGTCAGATCCAGCATCCAAAGCAAGTCTGGTAGTGTCCATCCTTAGATGCATCATCCAAGCAAGTTTGGTCTAAGTAGGGCTTATAGTTCCTTAAGAATGGACCTGCTCCAAAAACTTTAATTTGGTCACTCATCTGGAAAATTTAGGTCAGATCCAGCATCCGAAGCAAGTCCGATAGTGTTCATCTCTAGATGCATCATCTATGCAAGTTTGTATCAACATGTAAAGTTTGATAACACCATCTTGAATGGTATGTTTAAAACAGAGCTAAACACTATTTAAGAAAAGTCAGGTCAAGGTCAAAGGAAAGGTCAAGGTCAAAAAATGTTGATGCAGTTGCATAGCTCTCATCAATATCTATCAGCATATGAAGTTTGATGAAAATATCTTGGATAGTTTCTTTGAAACTTAGCTTTGAACAGAGCTAAACACAAAGTGGGACGGAAGGACAGAAGGACAGAAGACGGACATGACAAACACTATATGCCCCGGCCATATTCATGGCGGGGCATAAATATTCAGTTACCAACATATTCCAGAAAATTTGCTTTTTGAAGTAGAAGGATTATAAAAGCTCTACTTAGACTTTGTTTGCATTACAAAATCAATTGTATTATGGTTTGTTTGCATTTAGTAGTATTATAATTTTTTCTGGAAAGGATATGGTTGCATGAATCCGTAGTGTTGGGAGCTTCACCTGATGGCTTAGTTGTTCGACCACCAACATGCAGTGTATTTTATCAAACTCCAGAAGCCAAAGACGCCATTCCTGATATTGTAGAGGTGAAGTGTCCATATACAGCATCGTCTTCAACAGTAGCAGATGGGGCACAAAATTTGAAGGATTTTTCATAGGTAAATAACATTAAAAATCTGTATTGTCCAGTACTTTGAAATTAAAAATCTTGGTGAGTAAATGATTTCAAAACATGTATTAATTTACAAGTGCAGCTGTTCAATATGGTATGAAGATATTGAAAAAGGAGGGGATATGTACTGGTATGACACAACTTAAGTGTTTTTTGATTTTTTTTTAGATCTTAAACAAGATACCCTGTGCCTGAAAACCAGTCACCCGTACTATCATCAAATTCAAGGCCAGCTACACATATGTAACAAAACATTCTGCGACTTAATTGTGTGGACAAGAGTAGACTGCATTGTGATTAGAATAGTAAAAGACATTGAATGGACAGCAAATGTTCCAAAGCTGATAGATTTCTACATTAACATTTTCATTCCAGCACTGATGGAAAACTGAGTTCTGGTTTGAACTTCTTGACACTTAGTTTTGTACCTCTAGAATTTTCTAACAATGGAAAATGGGTAATCATGTTAAATGTGTTGAATGTTCCCAAGTCTCATAAATGTATGATATGATATGTCACAATCCAATGAATCCATCATAAAACTTCTGGCTTATAAGACTATTTTAAATAGCAATGATGATTAATAAAATCTATGTACTACATAAAAAAAGAATATCAAAATTTAGAATCATTTTATTAATGAATTGAAGATGTTATTCTCAAAGTGAAAATGTAACATTTTTGTCTTTCTTAATAAATAAATTGTTGAAAACATGAATTTGTTGAGTTGTGCTTTAAAGGTAAATATACTTTAAACTAGAGATTTAAAATTATAAGTAAACCCTCTTCCAAATTATATTGTCAAATGAAGAATCGAATTGCCAAACATTCTTGTAATAAATCCATGCTAAACAAAAGGGATTTTCATTTTCTGAAGTACATGTATTACAACATACTACAAAGTTAACAAATATAACCATTGACATTGATAACAAATCAAAATTTGCTTATCCCTTGCACTTTGGTATGAATATCTTCACTGTTTAGTGTATACTGTCACACGCCAATGCAAATTTATAATAAGTACATGTATCTTTAAGTAATTTCTTTCAAAAGTGGAGCTTGCAAGTTTACAAGACAAGAACAGAGTTGAAATATTTTTGTTGAGATTGGTCTGTAAGTAGATGGTATGTGACAGAGAATCTCGTAATTCTTTATCCTCTCGTTGGCTCTTTCCACATGAATAAGTGCTTTAGCAATCTTGTAACAGTGCTGCTTCTTGTATGGTAAACTGGCCTCATGTCGATAAAAGAGCTTTTATAATTAAGCAGACACCCTGGGGCAACTGGTCATGAATGGTGAAACCTTTGACCACCAAAATAAGGTCTCCAGCTTTGAACTTTCGTAAAACTTGGCTGTGACGTACAATAGCTACATCAGAAGTAGAACCTGGGTACAGCATGGAGCAAAATGTAAGTGCACCATTTGGAGGCACGCAAGTTACTGCTTTAAAAGTATGGCAACTTTTGTACATACTGTAGGCCATGGCCTGATTATCCATATGTGTTGGGATGTCCTGGGTTGTTTCATTTGCATCCATGGATGCTCTAGCAGAGGAAAAATCCTCAAAAGATTTTGGCAGAGACCCTGAAAAAAAGTTGGAAAAAAATTAATTTGATTATTTGTAATTGTGTAAAAAAATTGTGTTACAGTCAATCTTTCAAGAATACAATAAATTTAACTGCATTAAATTTTTGCAAGTCATTATGATAAATTTTAAAACAAACCTTTGCATTTAAGCCGACTTGGAAAACATTCTACGCTACATTCTACACTACGCCATCAGACAGCATCTTGTATAGGGAAAAGACCACTAATTATTTTCCCATAGAACTCCATACAAACCTTAGGCCCTCTCAGTACTTTACTATGACAATTTCAGAAAAATCTTTAGCATCATTTCAAACTTTGTTCTAAGCCCTAACAAAAAATACTGAAAAAAATATATGGTCCCATGGCGTTTATAGGTCAAAATTGCAGTTATTTTCAACTTATAGAGATTCGCAGTAAATAACACGCGGCATAAAAAATTAACCCCCACTCCTAAAATCTTCCCTGGCATTTCTATAGTTTCTGTAATATTCCCTCATCCCATCATTTATTTCAAAGGTCATTAATTTTACTTTAAAATGAAAACAATTAAATACCTGATTTCAGCCAATGGCGTAACGCCTACCCATTCAGTATTCGGTTTAATGTTCCATAACAAACAAAGCCATGTGTGCATCCGGGGATTTGGTGCTCTCATTCCTATACTTACATACTTACCTGTCCCAGAATTAGTCAATTGTGGTAATTTCAAAGACTATACACCTACCTGTGAACATGTATGAAATTTGAGTCCTGTGACTTCAGTGTATTGGATACTGTGACCATCTCAAATGATGACACCTTACTGCTACCAGCACAATTCAAAGGAGTGAATGACGTCTGGGCCGATGATGATATTTGGATATATTGGTGACTGTAATAAATAAAATATTTGTACAATGAATTGTTTTTGTGCTTTGATGTTAATAAAGTGATATTAAGTCAAAATTGAGTCAATAATTTCATAAGGGTGGATTCTACCCAGAATTAGGTAAAAAGCTCCAAAATTGGATAAATCATAGTTAATTAAGCAAAATTCAAAGGTTTTAAAAAGACTGATATAGAATTTTTTTATGCTTATGCAAAGTATATTTTTTAAGACTCTGATATACTAATTGATTCTTATCTAATCCCTCCTATTGCTTAAGTATGTACAAAAAAGTTTCCCCACCCCCCAGTGAAAAACACTTAAAGAAATAGCAGGTGCCCCCTTTTATTTTTGTTTACAATTAATTTAGACAAGTTTAAATCAATCCTTTTGATAACAAATCAAAGTTCAATGTCTGTAGTCTTATACATTACAATCAGAAGCTACTTTTTGAATTTTATTCTAAGAAAAGGAGAATTTAAATAATTTTTTTTAAAAATTAAAGAAAAGCAAAAACTGAACCCAAAATGTACTTTACAATAAGAGGCTGGAAAGTTAATAAATAAAATTTTTACCTGCAATGTACAGAAAACTGTCCGACAAAATACATCGGGTGGGTAGGGAGTCTCCATTTTCTTCTTATATAGAGAAAATGCCCCTGCTGATCAGAGACCTAAACTCCCAAATAATAACAAAATATGTTAACATAACAGTCAATCTAAGATGTTCATCCCTCAATGGCAACAAGTTTTTATTACAGTAACTGAAATTGTTAGGAAATAGGAAATCACAATTGGAATTCCTTTAAATGTACCTTCTCTTCGTTGTATTTAATATCGTGGATTGATATTGGCTTCCTTTTACTAGACTCTATTTTTAGGGCAAGCAATTCCTTTTCCAGTTGTATTTCTGTTGAGAGGCGCTGCATTTCTTGAGTACAGTTAAATGTGCAGGATGCTGAGTAGTTGTGCTCTGATATCAACTGAAAATATATTGTAAATCATGTACAGTTAAAAGAACTTTATATATTATTAAAAATTATTGAAAATGTTTCAGTGTTGGTCATTTGTCATCATTGGTGTTTTAAATGAGCTTTACTTTTTCTTGATATTGACATTTTGGTGCTTGTGGAATCTGCAACTGGTCCATCTGTGAAGATGACAGGGACTCCTCACTTTTGAGTTTTTTCCTCCTTTGTAAAATAATTAAACTTGAATTATTTTTTTATTCAGTTGTAAGCTACTCTGTTTATACATGTACCCTTTTAAAGATTTTTAGTAAAATATTCTCAATTAAACTCCACCCACCCACCATCCAAAAACAAGATGTCGGTCATATTTTGAAAAATAATTTCACCTTTTTGTACATTCAGGATCAGAGAAATCCATGGCCTTTCCTTCATTCCATGCAAAATATGCAGGGTCCCCCTCCTTCTTACCATCCTTAAAGTGGCAGGAGCAGATGCGATCATTCTGATCTCCTGGTTGGCGATCAGCTCATCTAAAAATATACATTATACAAAGACTGAGTGAAGGAGAATTAAAAAGCAAAACATGTTCATTTAGCATGTTATTATCAAATAGCCTAAATGACTTATTTTTTCATTATTTTTTTTTTTAAATGTTACATTTACTTGCAAGTACAAGATAACCATGTGCATAACATTAACTAATCCGAGATTCCTCTGACTCTAACCCCCGCTTTTATATTGTGACTTGTGCGCACAAGTCACAATATAAAAGCGGGGGTTAGAGTCAGAGGAATCTCGGATTAAACATTAACAAACGGTAACAGTATTTGGTAGTAATAATACGAAATAAAATGTCATAAAAACAGCTGTTAAACAAAAATTAATCTTGCTACAAATTGCACAGTTTTTGTAGTATGTACTCTTCATTATTCTTCTGCTATATTGATTACTACGAGATTTAACTTTTTAGCATGCATGTATAAATACTGTATCTGACAATGCAGCATCGTGACATATCGTTACAAGTACCTACAAATTTTGTCAATACATCTACGTTTACTGAGTTTTTTCCCTAGCAGGCCGAAATATCTCCATCATGTCACCAGGAACAACACTCGTGCATCTCGTAATTAGTGCTGCAATAAACAAACTGATGTGTTTTTTCTCACCTGCATGGTTTTCCCGACGCTTCAGCTACTTTCGTTATTTCTAACCAATGAAAATTGTCCTTACTTTTCTGTTGCGTCATGCAATTTTATTGCACGCATCACTGAATTGTAGAACACACATCACAAGATTTCGAATATACATCACAAGATTATCGAACATGCATCACAAGATTTCGAATATACATCACAAGATTATCAAACATACATCACAAGATTTCGAACATACATCACAAGATTATAGAATATACATCACAAGATTTCGAATATACATCACAAGATATTGAATATACATCACAAGATTTTGAACATACATCACAAGATATTGAATATACATCACAAGATTATAGAATATACATCACAAGATTTCGAGATTTCGAACATACATCACAAGATTATAGAATATACATCACAAGATTTCGAATATACATCACAAGATATCGAACATACATCACAAGATTTCGAATATACATCACAAGATTATCAAACATACATCACAAGATTTCGAATATACATCACAAGATTTCGAACATACATCACAAGATTATAGAATATACATCACAAGTTTAAGAATATACATCACAAGATATTGAATATACATCACAAGATTTTGAACATACATCACAAGATTTTGAATATACATCACAAGATTTCGAACATACATCACAAGATTTTGAATATACATCACAAGATTTTGAATATACATCACAAGATTTCGAACATACATCACAAGATTTTGAATATACATCACAAGATTTCGAGCATACATCACAAGATTTTGAATATACATCACAAGATTTCGAACATACATCACAAGATTTTGAATATACATCACAAGATTATCGAATATTGCAACGTTTGACATGCCATACACGTGTTGCCGGTGACTACAAATGCCGCACTGGAAAACAATCATTCAATACGATTGGTCAGTGTTATCGGGGTATTGTTGGATTTTGTATTTTATATGCAAAGTAGTATTGATGTCATTCAAACCAAACATCTAATCGATGAATAATATGGTAATCAATTTGAGAAATTTTTACCACGGTCGATCAAGCAAACTGACACGCTGTTATTGGAATGATAGTAATACCTAAGAACACCGGTAATTCAAAAATTAAACAATTCTTAAGTATCAGTCAGACAGTCACATTATCCAGCGATGGGGTATACGATGAGAAACCGATGCGTTTTTTGATGAAAATGGCGTGGTTGCCGGCCGGGCACCACTAGTGATCGGAAGGTGACTGAGGTCATTTTGCGAATCGGTGGGGTCATTGGTAGGACATAATTCGTAGTTAAAATTCAGCGATGTCTCCAACGATGCCTCACATCACTCCTCATCGGCAACCCATCATTAACACATCTTTCACGGATCGGCCGATGCATGGCCGAGCATCGTCCAATATCCGTTGAATCTGAGGTCATCGGGGGGTTGAGTGGTGTCCAACAGATAACGGCCGATCATCGGTCGATGTTCGACCAAACATTGGCCCGTAGTCAACCGATGTTCGAACGATGTTCACCAATGTATGAGCGATGTAATATACCTCGGCCGATTATCCTGGAACATCGTTTTATGATCAGCAATGCTTCGCTGGGCCTTTGAAAGTCCGGCCGGCAACCACGACATTTTTATCATAAAAGGCATTGGTTGCCCATCGAATACCCATCGCTGGATAATGCGACTGATTCTGTAAGTACTACTTAACCGATGTGGACCGATGTTAGGGCATCGTTAACACCACGGATTACCAACGATAACCACCGGTCTACAGCTACCGGCCGTGAGATGTGACCTAGGCATTAGTCGGCCAACAGTCGCCCGATCATCGTTTCGCTAAGTCGCAGTTTGATTTTCACCGTCGGCCGACATTTACGAAAACCCAATTCCTAAAAGTCGACCGACCGACGACCGACTTTACAACTTGTTTGCCGAGGTCGGACGATAATCGAAGGTTTGTTGATAAACTATTCAACGAAAAAATCAGCACACACGCAGGAAAAATTATAGCATGGCCCGACAGACACAAAATCGGTCGTCCGACGAAAAAATGGGTCAAACTTGGGCAAGACAACGGCCGAAGAACAGTCGACTATTGCCCAAAGAATCCTATTTTTGCCTAAAAAAAAACCGTCGGCCGTTGGTCGTTTTTGGAAATATGACTGAAGTTTAAGCAAAATAATTTTCAATTGATATAGAAAATCTTTGAATGAGTGGGTATTGGGCCAGACTTTCTTGCTACTTTCGGCCGATTGGTGTCTCATCTTACTTCGGCTGTAACATGTAAGGAACCAATAAACCGGTATTAGTTTCCCCGTATTCCCTGTATTACAGTGTACTCAGCTGATTTCCATTCGTAATTCAACATAAGATTTTTTTAAATGTCAAATTCATGTTTCCTCTTATGGAGTTTAGTCCTTTCGACATGAAACTTTGCATTTATTTATCAAATAATAGATATTGCATTATCGAAAATTTTACTTAAGCGATGCTACACTTTGAAAATATTTTAACCTTTTTTTTTGGCTTATTCCTTGGGAATGAGTATAACATCATTATAATATCTTCCACTTGCAGCTGTTGATCCTTGACCAAAACTTGGAATGTTAGAAGAATTCAAACACTTTTTTCCAGAAAGGTACGTTTGCAATAATGCGCAAAAGTGATTGCGCACTAGATTTGTCCTCAACAAATAACTAATGTAACGAATAATAACCGAAAGGGTAAATTGATAAATACTTGATGTACTGTTCTATTCTCATGCGAGATTAAATTATTTATGTGTTGATCAGAGTCAATTAGCAAAAAGGTATATGATAACAAAAGATTGAACTCTTTAATCAACCTAAACTTCAGGATCTGATGACGTAAAACAATAGACAAAACGGTTTGTTCCCATCTCGCCTTAACTGTAAAATTTAGCATTCCCATTTCGCCTTAGTAAGCTCTCAGGTGAATTAAGGTGATGAAGATTTGATATATTTAGCATAAAGTATTTTTCGGTATTACAAGTATTAATCCATTCACAGTATTTATAAATTCCCATTAATTGTTAAATTCAATCTAAAATTTTTATCATTAAATCTTTTATCAACCTAGAAATAATATTTACAAATACTAAAATTCCCATTTCGCCTTAGTCCTTTTTAACTTTTTCTTACCTGTTTTTCACTATTAAGGCGAAATGGGAACACACCGACAAAACTGGCATAATTTTTGACGATATTCTTAGTATTTTTTTGACAAGCATGTTCATGTGCAAATTGTGGCTCTGATACATGCCATTGTATATTAAATTATTGCATCCTACTTTCTATCTACAACCTTGAGCATATTTGTTTTGTTTCTTTGTTTATCGTCCTCCTGAAAGAAATTAATGTGTGTCAGTCTGTAATATTTTGTATTCACAGCAAAATTTGCAGATTTCAAATTAGTCTAAAAAAGCCGTTAAACAAATATTCATGTTTCCTAATTTTGATTAAGATGAAAGAATTATCTATTTCCAGATGAATAGTTGGAAGAAACACTTAATTTGGCGCGATACAGGTATAACATGAAAGAAGAAGGGTAATCATCCCATTTTGTCTTCTTCTTGTTTTGTCACAATCCTTGATTGTTGTTAATGACGCTAAACTTCTTTACATTCTGTCAGAATGAATTCAGTCTGTTGTGCGTTCAGCTCAATCGATATATGCTTCCTGGAATCTTAAGACAGCCCCCGTATTATGATATATTGCATATTATTGGTCCACCAATACTCACCTACAGTATCGTAACAACTAGTCGTAAGAAATATAAACAGAATTGTTTTCACAACTAATTGTCATTTTCTCGCTACCATGGATTCTAATTCAAAGATTGATCTTTCCACAAATGTTTGATGTAGTTTTTATCGTATTACGATAAAGCATAAATGTTAAAAACCTGAAAAAAATTAGAAACCTGTGAATTGAGGTGACTTTTGGACTTTTGAGACATGGATGTGAATACGACTTTAAATGACTCTTACTTGGTTCGTCAGATGATGCCTGAGCCACCAGCCTATATCTTCATCCTGGCTAGTGTCTTCTATTCTTTGACCTTCGTGATTGGATTCATCGGAAACATTTTTGTCGTTACCCTCGTATTTGGTTTTAAGCGGATGCAGAGTAGAATGAACTATTTCTTCGTTAATCTTTCGATAACCGACATGCTTATTCTGTTGGTTTGCATGCCCTCGGCCACAGTTGATCTCTTTGCAAAAGAAGTTTGGTACTTCGGCGAGTTCATGTGTAAGTAGTGGTTTTTAAGTTAAAAGTGAAATATTTTTGTTGCAGTCCGGCATAAAAAGCATATAAATGAAAAATTGCGAACCCATAGCATAGTTATAGGACGTTAGCATGAGTATGCATCAAATTAAAATATTACACAAGAAACTGCAAGAAAATAATAAATTATGCAAGAGAGTACAATTACTGACGCAAGTGCTTTTAATTTTTAGCTCTAAAATCTTAATATGCAATCTGATTAATTACAATTGCAATGGTATTATTTTTCAAAAAAGCGTGGTTGTATAAAATTATCACCAGAATCTTCAGGTGGATATATTGTTTAATACATGTACGTGGGCAACATTAAAGTTTTCACGCAAACATACAGATATTCAGACAGAAAGAGAGGGCAAAAAGTACAGACCCTCGAATCTTTGATTACGTGGGTATAAAAACTTCCATCCAAAAGAACGTTTTGGGAAAGGTTCTTGTCACGACACATGTAAAAATTTGGATTCCTTTTTATAGAATTGTAATAACAGGATATTTTTGTAAAAAAGCGTAAATACCGGCAATAAAACAAAGACATCTCGAAGTGACGATAAAACTCAGTACCATTATTCATGTAGAATATTCATTTTACAGGTAAAATGGTTCATTACACAGAAAACGTCCTTACTCTGGCATCTGTTATGACGATTCTTGCCATTACTGCAGACCGTTTCAAGGGAATTTGTCACCCAATCCTTTCCAAGGGACATTGGACCAACATTCGTGTATCAGTGGTCATTGCCATTGTTTGGATTCTGGCCATAGTGTGCAGTTTACCTACGTTCTTTTTCCCTGTTTTCAAAGATTCCACATGGGTAGATGGTACCCCAATAAAAGTTTGTCGAATTCCTATCAACAAAGAATGGAAAGTAGGTTTCCTTCTGGCCATATTTATTCTTTTCTTTGCCATACCGTTTTTCGTACTCGCCGGACTAATTTTCTGCATGGGTCGCGCATTATTGTGGCAGCACAACCTCCAAGAAGGTCGCGCGGACAAGGAAGCTTTGTATACTCTGAACAAACGTCGGCGGGTTGTCGTTATGCTCATTCTTGTTGTAGTAGCCTTCTTTTTGTGCCTCTTGCCACAACGCATATTGGGACTGTGGATTATTTTCACAGAGCGGTCAAATTTGGCGTCTCTTGGTCTAGAGGGATACCTAAACCTCGTTACTTTTACCCGTGTAATGGTGTACATAAACAGTGCCATGAATCCGGTTATTTATAACTGCATGTCCACCAAATTCCGTGGAGCCTTAAAGGATCTCTGTTATAGAAGACGTCATTATAATTCCATCAGTCGTACGCACGCCATAACTTTGACTACCATTCCTTCATCAGGATCGTGCCATTCCACCCGCTAATGAGGAGCCTTCGTCTTTATTAAGATGAATCATAAAAAAGTTGTTCCCACTTCTACTCTTGTACGTGATACTATGGCATATGGTGACAAAATCGACATTTTGCTTTATAAATTTAAGTTTGGTCTATTTGCATTTGATAAGATACATAATAATGCAATAAGTTGTTATAATTTCAAACAAAAGTGAATTTATTTGCAGAAATAGACATACGCTGTAGAGGATTACTAGTACATTATATGTGTGAGTGTCTATGTAACTTTTAATTTAAATTTCGTTATACTTGGCGTTTTGTAAATAAAAAAAAGTAATTACATTCCGTGTGTATGTTTTATTTAAGATGAATTATATACGAGTAAGCTAAGTTCATTTATTGTCATTATTAAAAGGTTTCTGAAAGCTAGTGTTTCATTTGGGGTGTGCATGGCCCAAACGAACTTTTTAGAATTGGTTGTCCTTTGCAAAACCTTTTCGTACATCCTTTTTAGGGATCGTATGGTTTTATTCATATGTTAAAGGAAGAAAACAGCTGCATCGGGACTTGAAATTTACTTCAGCTCACTGACAGATAATTATTAGAGTTTGGGTCTTGGCGCATCCATCAATTTAATTGAAGTTAAAAGTTTTAATAAATTAAGAGCGAAACCAGTAGAAGAAGTAAATGTCTTGTTTTACAAGAAGAGCTTACCTCGATGCCCACTGGTATGTGAATGAAAAATCCTGTTGATGACGTAAAGGAACAAATAATCAATCATAAAAGGCTTCCTCTGGTATGCGTATTGAATTTCAAGGAACTCACTGTGTTACATATAATCCGAATAATCGTATTCCATACCAGATGATCCCTGGTCTTGTAACATAGACTGACTTTTTGTCAGTTAACATGTACTCCCCGCGTACTTATATTCATGTAAAACATTTATCTGGTGACCATTTGTCTCTTCAATGTCTTTTCTTCTGATCGCATCGATGTTTTACATTAATTAGTATCCTCAGTTCTCAACATTTATATAGCACAAAAGGTAACCCCGGGTAATTTACAATTTTGTTTAATTTGAAGAATTGAGTAACAAGTTTTTCCCTTCCTACACATCAAAATTAGACAAAGTCACATGTGTGTTGAAAAAAGTTTATTGATCAAAACATGATAACATTCTGAACAAATCAAATCAAAACTTGTTCAAACTTTTTAAGTTTTTTAAGTTTTACAGTGCCAGTATAATAAAATGGATTTCAAAATGTTGATATCCAAATTGCAGTTTCCTTAAACAAAAATGGAATAAACATTGTAAAACTAACTGTGATTCAGTTCCATTATATCAACATAGGTAATCAGAGATTACAGAGCTCACCTCAACGAATCTTGTCTTTAAGTAAGGCAAAATCACACAATTAACCAACAAAAAGTGTATATCCAAAAATGCAACATTTATGCAATTTTGATCTGATATTTTGGAATAGACCTATGTAAAAACTTCAAACTAGTTCTTCTTCATAAAAACATAATTACAATCCAGCATCTGAAGCAAGTCTGAGAGTTTTCATCCCTTGATGCATCATTTGTACAAGTTTGGTTTATATAAGCCTTATAGATTTTTGGTAATAGACCTGCAACCATAACTTTTACCAGGTCCATTAACTTGAAAATGTATGTCGAATTCAGCATCTGAGGCAAGTCAAGGTTTTTGGTATTCAATGAAATTTCTTGTCACAAGGATTACATATGTGAAGTATGAAAGCCCTAGCCCTTACCGTTAAAAAGTTATTGCCTACATGTAGGTTAATGTTTTTCATAAGTCCGGAAATCTCTAAGGTCAAGGTCAAAAGGTAAAGGCTATTGGTATCCAATGAAAGGTCTTGCCACAAAGAATACATATGTGTATTATGGAAGCCTTAGCTCTAACCGTTCTAAAGTTATTGCCAAGTTTAATTTTTCTCAAGTCCAGAAATCTCTAAGTTCAAGGTCAAAAGGTCATTAATGAACGGTCTGCTATAAAGATTAAATATGTGAAGTATGAAAGCCCTAGCCTTAACTGTTCAAAAGTTATGATCAAGGTTGAAAATTTTGAAAAGTAGGTCAAACTCCAAGGTCAAAGGGTCAAAATTCTTGATATCAAATGAAAGGTCTTGTCTTGTCACAAGGAATAAATACCACAGGTAAACAAAGTATGAAAGCACTAGCTTTTATCCAGAAATCTCTAAGTTCCTTTTTAAATATATGGTCTTAAAGTTCAAAAGTTTGTTTTTTGAAAATTTTGAAAATGTAGGTCAAACTCCAAGGTCAAGGTCAAAGGGTCAATGTTCTTGAAATCAAATGAAGCGTTTTTTTACAAGGATTAAATATGTGAAGTATAAAAGCTCAAGCCCTTATCGTTGAAAAGTTATTGCAAAGGTGAAAGTTTTTTCATAAGTATAGAAATCTTCAAGGTCAAAAGGTCAAAGTTGGTGGTATCCAATGAAAGCTCTTGCCATAAAAATTACATATGAGTACAAATATCCTGGTATTCACTGTTCAAAAGATATGGCCACAGTAAAAGTTTGGAATTTTTGTGTAAAAGTGGGTCAAACTCCAAGGTCAAGGTCAAAAGGTCAAATTTTGTGGTACCCATAGAAAGCTCTTGTCACAAGGAATACACAAATTAATTAAATATTAAAATCTTAGCACCACTAAATCAAAAGTTATGGGCAAGGTTAAAGTTTTTGCGGACAAACAGACGAACAGACAGACAGACAGACAGAGAGAGAGAGAGAGAGACAGACGGACGGACACGACAAAAACTATATACCCCCGAAACTTCGTTTACGGGGGCATAATCACAAGAAACGAAATATATGCTCGATATCCACAAACCGCATTACATAATGTCTATCTATAGAGCGTGTATCAAAAACTATAGGATAAGTGTATTTACACAAAAATCGACTAGTGGCAGCAGGTGGGGTAAAGAGCCCACCAGTTGAGAGGATTTGTAAAATCATCGCAACTATCCCACCAAGGCTACGGCATACATATCATGTGCCAGTAGAACAATCAAGAAGGTTTAAGGGTAAGGCATACCATGCAAAAGTGATTAGGAGCTATTATTAACTATTTGAAGCTAACACTACAGAATAAGACAAAATAAAGCAAAATCATCTGTTTTTGTATCTGTATGATATGTCGAACATAATACTATAATGGTAAATAAGGAAGCATTAGGGAGAATGGTCGATTAAAATATGAAATATTAAGAATATTATTTTCTCCGTAAATGGAAACATGAAAAAACGAACAGAAATCAAGCTTAAGGATGACGTTTACTCAGGTTTCAGAAGTCAGACAGGAAATTTTATAAAGTATAATATGTTAAATCAAAAATTGTTCTAAATGGATAAAATAACCAAGTTTTAACTCAATATCAATCTAAAAATTTAATATTTTATTTAGTGTTGGCAAATAATAATTTTAGATTGAATTTACTCGCTTCATCTTCCGATCAGTAAAATTTGAAAAAAGAAAATTTTTGGTAAAAGTATCAATATCTATTATTTGTCTTATTTTATACTTATTGGTAGTAGTAATCAGCTGTTCTTTTGTAACAACTCCAAGCTTATTATGTCTGCGGCGGCATCTCGTTAAATAATCAAATGAGGTAATTATAACTCAGGCCTTCAAAAAATGAGATACCCCAAGCAATCAAAGCTATCTTATATAAACTGTGAAAACTAATCAAAACAATTTGATTCACTACAAACATGCACTAGATCAAGTCTAACGGTACCTTAAATTAGGGAAATGTGTAAGTTAAAATACATTTATAAATTATAAAACATTCATTTTCTATGCCTTTACTTTGTAGAATTTATTTTATCCGAGTAACCGAATAGGAGTTTTACTAACCGATACTCGCAACGATATCGACGGTTAACCGGTTAAAGAGGTATCGTTGCCAACAGTGAAAAAGATATTTATTATTTAAAGGAAATATACAGAAACAAAAGTCAATGCATGGTAATGCAGAGGAAATTCGGACTAAATTTCTAATTTTTTATTTTTGTCAAAATTTTTAATTTTTTGCAATATTAATAACAATGTGAAGGTGACATGTATTTCTAAACAGCATTTTGCAAATTTTATATGTGTTAAAGCTCATAAATTATTTCAAATAATTAAATGCTATGAAATAAAGAAATTCAAAAATATGAACAAAAACCATTCCAGACACGATATCTCAATAATTTGATCATTGACCCCATATAATATTAATATCACGAGAATTAGTGCAACAAAAGTAATTTGATTCTATAAATAATTTGGAGTTCTTATCATTCAGATTTTTGTAATATTTAATTAAAAATGGGGAAAAAATATAGATAAGACAGAGGAAATTTGGACAAGTTTAAATAATTTTCAAGTTTATGGCCCAGGGGAGTCTTATTATTTTATTTTATGAAGCATCCCTGTTCCATTGCTATACTATTTCATTATCTAAAGAGTTTTGTTGGTTGTAATATTTTGTGAGTGAAGAAAGAATTGGTCATAATGTGAAAAATTGGGGTATTTTCTGAGAAATACTCAGGGGCCACTAGCATGAAAAGTAGGTCATTGACCTAGTTATTTGAAATTGAAAATTAACACAAGAATCATAGGTGTACAATGTGCAATAGGTGGTTTTTCGTTCTTATCAGCGGAATTTTTTGTCTTCTGAGTAAAGGTATACCTTAAGGTTCATTAAAACAAATCATACCGGGAGCGGAGCAAATATATGCACTGCTAGACACATCAGAGGTGGGATCAGTTGTCATCAGATAAAATGTTTCCTCTGTTGACCGGTGTCGCATAATATTTACGCACGATCGGACAAAAAAAAAAAACGAAGACAATTCATATTGAAATAATTTCTTAACAATTGTATGAAAAACGTTAGTCAGCGTTCGACAAAGTAATAGATTGAATTTACTGACAAAGTCATTGTATCGATCATAAAATTTGAAAAAAGAAAATCTCTTCGGTATAAATATTT